GCATCTCCTCTCCCTGCCAGAACCTTCTGTGATTCCCATATCCCCAGCCAACCAATCTTCACTTTTTAATCTTCCCAAGGCCCGCCCCTTAGGCTTGGCTACCATGAGCCTTCAGAGCTATCCCTTGCACAGATAACACTAACCGACTCCCGAGAATTCAGGCCACTTGCGTGTCCTGAGGGTAGGGAAGACAAAGAACTCAGCACAGAATAGAGAGCTTGATTCTTAAAAGTGAAAAGAATAGATCCCATAGGCAAGCATGGCTGTTCAGGCTACCTGTGACCAAGGGCAGCAGCCTGAGAATCTTAGCCGTTGGCACTGAGAGATGATTTTTCCCTCCTCTCCTGGTTGTATACGCTGCCCGAAGTGGATAGAACATTGACCTGGGCAGTGCCCTGAGGTCAATGGTACCCAGGGAAGACCTGGGTACCAGGAAGCCAATCAATCCAGCCTTCCCTGTGCTGTATCCCAGCTCCCCTGGGCTACCTCTGGCCTTCTCAAGCTGTTGCTTCAGGAACCCTTAGAGAGGGCCTCCAGCAGCCATAACGCAGTCCTGACTGTCTGCAGGGGCCCTCTCATCCCATGCTGCATACCCAGGCTTCATTCAGTGTCTCTCCCAGCTGAGGCCCAGGCCTTGCTGCACATGTCACGGACACTGGGTTGTTCTGAAGACCACTTCCCTGTCCCATTCCCATCATGGCACAGACTTGGCTGTTCCCTCCTACTTCCTCTGGCCTGCATTCCTCTCCCCCATCCTCTCCCCCCCCCACAGTTCCCAGAACCAGAGCTTCCTGGGTGTGGGATCAACTCACACCCGTAGGGGCCACCCCGTGGGTCACAGAGTCCCTCTGAGGTCTACAGGCTCCATGTGCATTGGTCTTCGTGTTGCTCTCTTTCTCTCTGGCCTAAAGGTCTCACTCATCCTTCATAACTGTGGTCAAGATCATGCCCTCCCCCTTTAACCGACTTATTGCAGTGCTTTTCTGGGCAGTGGAAACAGGGTCTTGTCCAATGAAATAACCCCCACCACCTCCATCCTCAGACCCCCATCATTGGCCCTGACAACAAGAAAAGAGTAACCCACCGTGTCCATGCTTGGCTAGAAAGATGATGGAGGGAGTCCTGGACCAGAGCCAAGTGTCCAGGGAGGGGGCCCAGGTTCTTTTCTCCTCAACTTAGCCTCAAAGAGGTGACTTGAACTCTCCTGCCTGCCCCGCCTACTGACCAGGGGCTCTGCACTCTGAGCTGGCTCCACACACCCACCTCCAGGACTCTTCCCAGAGGTGGGTGGCAATTGAGCGTTCATGCACCCACACCCCTTTGTTTTCCACAGGGAATGGGACCCCTGCAGCCAGCAGTCAATGGGTCCTGCAGATAGCACACAGGGACTGGTGCTCAGAAGTGTGGGTAGTGGCCTACAGTGATCGCTCAAGACTGACCCTGAGTTCCAGCTTCAGAGGTCTGCCCCTATCTTTGGGAGCCGGAAACAGGAGGTTTTCCCTTGTTCTGTCCCTTCTCCCCAGGACTATGCCACTGGCAGGTCAAGTGCACCACTGATGGGCAGCATTGTGGCCCTGGGGAAGCTACTCCCCTGTGGGTAAGAGAGCCTGGTGATCCCTTAGAGTCAATTCAACCATTTCTTGTGGCTGCCCCCAGGCTCCTCACTACTTCCAGTCCCATGGTACCCAGGAGACAGTGGTGAGAGGGCGTCCCTGTATCCTGAAGGAGAAGGTCACCTGGGATAGCCTTACATGATCCCTCTCCCCAGTCCTCTCTAGTGTCCTCTGGGGAGCATAGGAACAGTACAGGTTGAACCTTTGGGTTCAAGCTGGCTGGAAGGGCCAGTCACATGGGCATCCTGCAGGGGGCAGAATTGCAACAGGGACTGAAGCCTGCCAACCTTCTGGAGCTATCCTTGGGAGGACAAGGAGGGTGGGTAGCTGGCAGGGCTGGACCCCAGCTAGGCGCTGCTGGGCTCTTAGCAGGGTCTAGGTAGCAGCGGAGGGGGTAGGAGCGCAGAAGATATAGAGGGACAAGACACTGAGTAGGGGCGCAGAAGGCAGAGGCAACTGGCTTGAGTGAAAGAGCCCCACTCAGAGTGGGATGGGGGGGGTCTGTTCTGTACACTCTGGTGCACCTGGGTGGGGCCCCAGCCCCAAGCCCAGCTCCAACCCCATTCCCAGCCTGTGGTAAGCCCTGTGACAGTGTGGGCAGGATGTGGGGGGACAGGGCCCCACTCCCCAGCCCCTAGGCTGAGCCCTGGGCCCCAGAGCCAGAACAGACTCAGGAAATGGCCTGATTGCGTTTGTACGGGAACGCCAAATCCCTTGCAGCTGCGCGGGGCCAGGGCCACGGGCGGGGCGGCCATCGCCAGAGTCTTGACAGCTCCGAAGAACGTGCCAAGGGGTCTGGGCCGCTGGCCGGGGGGCGCCTTTCCCAGGCCAGAGGCCCCCACCCCACCCCACCCCAGGAGAGCCACCCCCTTCCAGTTCCCAGAACGGAGCCCAGCTGTGGAATAGTGACGGGGTGAGGTCATGGGGAGGGGGCGCATTACTCATTGCTTGAGGCAGGCAGGAGGGAAGAGGCAGGGGAAAGGGGCCCCAGGCCTCGTCAGCCTCAGAGCAGGGTCAGGCGCTGGGACAAGCTTCTCTCCAGCAAGGGGCTGGAGGGGGTGATACCAGTAGACCCCTATCCTGCACCCCCACTGTCCCCAAGACTTTGTTCAGGAAAGGGCTAAGTTAGGGTAACTTTGGAAGGGGGTGGGTCCCACAAAGGATGTTCCCAGAAAATACACTTTGGCCTCCTGCCAGTCCCAGGCTCAGGCCGGCACCACGTTGTCGGGGTGATGGTTAGGAAAACAGTAAATAGTGAGGCAGGGGCGGCCCCCTGAGGGAGCTTGGGAGGGGACGGGACCTGCTGTGTGTGTGTGATCCCCTGTTCCCTGCCCTTGCCTGCACATGTTTGAGGATGACCCTATGTACTCATGTGTGAGCACATGCGCTGAGGGCCTGTGTGTGAGTGCCTATGTGGCCACAGGAGATGTGTATGTGTCCTGCACCCTGCTCAGGAGAGATCTGTGTTTGGGTCACTGTATTCGTCCCTATATTCATTTCAAGCCCGAACCCCGCAGCCCCCTTCTTCAGGCTTTGTGTGATGGTGACAGGCTGTGGTAGCTTAGATCCTGTGCTCCAAGAGTGAAGTACCCACAAGGGGCCCTGAACCCAATGAGCTTTGCAGGGAGATTGCACTTGGTAGATGGGGCAAGGCTCTGGTCCCATTCAGAGTGAGATCCCCTACTCAGGATAGCCACACTCCCAGCGCAGAGCTGAGTCCTGTACCCCAGTCTCAGAGGGCTTGTACACACACGAGAGCTTTGCACACAGGCTCAAACAGATGTACAGCTACCCTGCACGTACACAGGCTCAGAAAGCAAGAACAAACCCACCAGGAGGGTATCTCACCCACCGGGAGGGTATCTCCTTATGGGCTGCCTCTGAAGCAGGCAGAGTGGGGAGTCCTCTTCTCCCCATCCACTCTGCCCTGACATTTTGTGGGGGCTGCTGGTAAATGTGTGTGTGCAAGGAGTGACCCACAGCCCCCGGCACACAAAGCTGTACTTCACCAGGTGGAGAGGGGCCAAAAGCGGCCCCACATTGGCTGAGGCCGTGGAGGGAACCAGGAGGCCCTCGGCATCTGCCGGTGATGGGAGCCAGGTGTAGGGAATTAAGGGGCTTTCTCAGGCTGGAAGTTGAAGGCCCTTCTGAGGCTGAGGCAGGCAGCTCGGCTTGGGGGTGCAAGGTAGGAGCAGGCAGGCAGCTTGCGTGGCTGGAGTCCCATGTGGCTGGCGGGGCGGGAGGTGGGGGGGGTGAGGGAGGAGTGAACCTCAGCCTGGAGCCTGTGGAGAGGCCTGGCTTTCGTCTGAGAGGCTTAGGGGAGACCTGGAGAGATTAGATCATGTGCTGGCAGGGCTTCCTGGCCAGGGGACTGAGGCCCAGAGGGGAGCGGGATGTGGGGTCATTCGGCGGACACTGCCCGGGAAGCACAGAGACCCCAGAAGGGAGACACAACTCTGAGAGGCTCAGGCACCTTGGGCCTGGGCACCAGGAACTATAGAAACAGAGGACACAACCCCTCTCAGCTCCAGGCAGCCTGGGGGAGGGGGGTGCTATGGTGGTATGGTTGGGGAAGAGGGCAGTGGCCAAGGCCTGGGGTATCCACTAGACACCAGCAACACAGATTTGCTGTGTAGGGTCTCCAGATCCTTCAGACCCAGTCTAGCCTGATTCTCTGACTGTCCCCTGGCTTAGGGAGAGAGATTCTGAGGAGCCTGAGTGCCAGCATGCTCTGGGAGCTGCAGATGTTGCCTGCCTCAGTTTCACCACCTTTAAAACAACCCAGAAAGACTCTCCACAGAGGACCCTGGGGTGAGGGTGGGGTGCTCTAAGGTCCCTAAGTGCACAGTAGAGAGAACGGGCTGGTAGGAAGACAAAGTAAGCCTGATCTGTCTCCACACTTGGGGGCCGTGTGGTAACATCAGTCTCCCAACATGCCATTCTTGGGAGGCAGGGGCTTCCAGATGGGGACTGTAGGGATAGCTATCTGACTAGTATCCATGACCTAGGCTCTCTCTCTGGACTCCCTGTCACCTTTACCAAAGCTTTTCTTGGTCCCCACATGGAACAAGGCAACCCTGCTCTGTCATAGGAGGCAGCCAGCAGGACAGGACAGTTGGTCACCAGCTCCAATGCTGGGTTGCCTGAAGCCTGTGTGGACACTGATGTCTCTTCCTTTCCCAGAGGGTCACCTGTGTGTACAGAGCCCTGGGATCACCTCCTTGGCCAGAGGCACTTTTACAAGTGCTTTGCACAGCCTCCATCTTTAGAGTAAACTGAGGCCTGCAGATTGGTCCAGGGGCCTTCCCTCACTAGCCAACAGCAAGGCTTGTCCATTACCATCTCATGTCACTCATGGTATGACTGTCTCTGTGTCTGCCCCTCCAGACTCACGACTCAGTGGAGAGAAGAAGATGAAGAAGAGGCTGCCCGTGAGCAGCGTCAACGGGAGCGAGAGAGGCAGCTGCAGGACCACGACAAAGATGAAGATGAAGATGAAGGCGGTCATTCTCTGGAACAGCCAGGACAGCAGGCACCGTAAGCTGCTGGGTCCTGGACCACTATTTACTGCCACACAGGACCTGGGCAGAAGCATATACTGGGGGTCAGGCCTTGGTCTTGGAACCACAGTGTAGGAATTAGAGGAAGGGATCAGCTCTTGGGACAAGGGTCATTACAATCTCCAGTAAACACCATCTGTGGGCTGCTGACTGGCCAAAGGGTCCACAGAGCTATGTGAGGCCTCCCCCTCTCAAACAGCCTCCAGGGGCCCTGACTCAGGCTCTGGACACCCTGAATGGCCCCAGCCCTGGCTTGGACTGGTGCTGACCCCAGCCATGAGGCCCTGGCCCCCGAGCCCCCCGCCCAAACTCCTGGCTGCCAGTGACTCACGGAGGCCACGTCCAAGTTGGCGGCCACGGGCCGGCTCGTTTCCTCCTCAGGCCCAGGAGGCTTCCGCGGCTGGGCTGGGCTGTTTTTCCAATAACTCTCCCCTTCCTCCTGGCCCTGTTTTGTTCCATTTTCTCGGAGTCAGCAGCTTTGGGCGGGGTGGGGTGCTGCAGGGGTCATGGACTCTCAGCAAGGTCTTCAGTTACTGGGTCCTTGCTAGCCCCCAACTCCTTCTTACTCAGTAGCTCACCCTGTAGCTTGGGAAAGGCTGTGAGGACCAGCCTGAGAGTCACAGCAACCTCAAGGAACCCTCGATGGATGGGGGAAAGTACAACCCTCTCTTGTGGAGCCCTAGACTGAAGGAGGAGGCAGAGCTCTGCTTTTGTAGAGTCATAGATTGGTGAAGGAAACACAGCTCTGCCCTCAGGGAGCTGTAGAAAGCATAGCCTTGTCTTTGGGGAGCCCTGGCTTGAAAAAAGAGGCAAAGTTATGCTCTTGGATAGACCTAAACTAATCTGAGCAGAATAGCCTGGCCTTCAAGGAGCCCTAGACTGATGGTGGAGGTATAGCTCTACTCTCAAAGAGCCTTCCACTGAAGAAAGAGGCATAGCTTTGCTCTCAAGAAGCCATAGAGTAATGCAGGATGCATAGCCTGGACTTCAGAAGGCCCCAGACTGATGGTAGAGCCATATCTGTGTTCTCATGGAATCCCAGACTGTTGGTGGAATCATAGCTTTGCCCTCAGGGAGCCCTAGACTGATGGTAGAACCACAGCTCTGCCTTCATGGAGCTTTAGACTGATGGTAGAACCATAACCCTGCCCTCAGAGAGCCCTAGACTGATGGTGGAGACATAGCCCTGCCCTCAGGGAGCCCTAGACTAATGGCAAAACCATAACCCTTATCTCAGGGAGCCCTAGAGTGATGGTAGAACTATAGCCCTGCTTTCACAGAGCCCTAGACTGTAGGTAGAACCATAGCCCTGTCCTCAGGGAACCCTAGACTGTTGGTAGAACCAGAGCCCTGCTCTCATGGAGCCCTAGACTGATGGTGGAGCCATAGCCCTGCCCTCAGAGAGCCCTAGACTGATGGTAGAACCATAGCCCTGCTCTCATGGAGCCCTAGACTGATGGTGGAGCCATAGCCCTGCCCTCAGAGAGCCCTAGACTGATGGTAGAACCATAACCCTGCTCTCACGGAGCTCTAGACTGTTGGTGAACCATAGCCCTGCTCTCACGGAGCCCTAGACTGTTGGTGAACCATAGCCCTGCCCTCAGGGACCCCTAGACTGATGGTGAAGCCATAACTCTGCCTTTGGGGAACCCTTGACAGATAGGGAAAGCACAACTCTATTCTTGTGAAGCGATAGGCTACTTTGGGAAGGCACAGCCCTACCCTGGGTGATTCTCAGACCACAAAGAGATAAAACCTAGCCATGGAGAGCCACCACTGAAGCAGATGGTTGCTCTTACACTGGGAGTCAGGGTCTAAGGGAAGAGACAAGGGAAGGAACATAAGCTGTAGCATGAAGGTCTTTTCCTAACCCCCCCCTTTCCCTGCTCTTTCAGCCCCAGCCTGAAGTCCTCTGAACTGGATGAAGATGAGGGGTTTGGTGACTGGTCCCAAAAGTCAGAGCCACAGCAGCAATTCTGTGGGAACGAGGGGACTGCAGAGGGAGCTGAGCTCTCTCAAAGTGAGAGTACAGAGGAGAAACAAACAGAGGAGAGGCAAGTGTGGACCAGGCTGGGTGAGGCGTTGACTCTCTCTGACCCCAGCTTGGACCTAGACAATTCCTTTCTGCCCACCCTTCCCCAAAAGCCCCCCAAAACACTCCGAGAGTATGAAGTGGGTAGGGAGGTAGGAAGAAAGGGAGAGAGATGGCAGGATGGCCAGTGAGGGGGCTACAGGGAGAGAGCAATGAGGATATTGCATTCCTGGGTTCCCCAGGGCTGGGGGCCCCATCCTGACCAGCTGTGGCCAACTGGGGGGGGGGCGCCACATCAGCACACAGCTGCAGCCCACTTACGTAATGTAGGCGCTTGCAGCCCACGCCCGCCCACCCTCCCCAGCCTGGCTGAACTCCATTCCCACGAAGGGGAGCAGGTACTTCCAGATGTGCGCCTATGAGGCGGCCCAGGGGACACATTTTCCAGATGTGTGGATGTGTGTGCCTGTCTAAATCAGGACAAATGGGGGTCCAAAGCCCCCTTGGGTCTGCAGATGAGGGGCTGCTGATGAAGTCTCACCTTGCCTTCCCCCCAGTTCAGGACCAGGTGTGAGGATAAGTCTGCCTATTCCACCAGGCCTAGGCAGAGAGGGTCCTTGACCCTGCTAAGGAGCCCCAGAATTGGAGGCCAGGGCCCCATTTCCATGAGTGGGCCAGAGCCAAAGGCTGAGCTGTCTTTCCCTCAGCAATCCAGCCCTTCCTGGCCCCTCGGAGGCCCCTGGGCCAGCAGGAGCAACTGCTCAACTCTTTCTCGTTTAATGAACTTCAGTTTCAGCTTGCAATTGTCCTCTGCACTCCAAAATGCATCTCTCTTTTTAGGGCCCTGGCTCTGAGCCTGCCCACTGCCAGCTATCCTGGGTTTACCCATCATCAGCCTCGATTTCCCCCCTTTGGGCCTACGTGCTTTCTGCACGTTCTGGATTTCTAGGCAGGCAGCTGCAGCTCTGCCATCAGCTCACTCCCTTCTCCTGATCAACAGCAGGGGGCACTTTAGATCTTCCAGCAGAACCCTGGTGCTGTGGCCTCCACCCTGCTCTCAAATCCGCCTGGCTGCCTGGCCCGCCAGCTCTTGAATGGCCCCTCTGTGTGGCTGCTGCTGGCTCCGACCCCAGCCCACCTTGGGCGGTGGGTTTGGGTTTTGGCTGGCACGTACACCAAGGGGCCTGACATCATGGAAAATACAAGAATTTACTATCCTCTCCTCCAGGTTCAGAGCCGCTCAAATGCCACCCATTGGATAGCTGCCCCTTCCAAAAGCCCCTAGCCTCAGTAATGCAGACCCTTCCCTGGCATCTTCCATCTACTGACCCAACACCCCAAATACTCTGGGCCTGGGCCCCCAGTGGTCTCTCCTCAATGTTACATTATGCTGACCCATTTGTCCATATATGGGCAGGGTAAAAGCCGCCAGAAGCTGGCCTTGCCCAGATTCAGGGCTGCAGGAGGCATCCAGCTTCAGTGCTTGGGTGGCCTATAGAGTGAGTAGCTAATGTCTTCAAAGGGGCCTTACAGGACCTCTCGGTACGGAGGCAATAGAAGATAGTGCTAGCTTTGAACAGAGCTTTACATATCCTTTTACGAAAGTGCTGTGGCTGGGCCTATAAGATGTTCGGTGGGTGAAAGCGCTTGACACTAAGCCTAACACCCTGGGTTAGATGCCCAGGACCCACATGGTGGAAGGAGAGCACTGACTTCCCTCAAGTCGTCCTTTGATACCCCTGTGTCTCTTTAAATAAATAAGTAAATAAATAAATAAATGTGAAAACCAACTTTTTTTTTTTTTTAATAGCTAGGGTCTTAAGAGCCCTGCATGCCAACTCATTGGACTGTCCCCATCTTACAGAAGACACTCTAGAGCTTTGGAACTAGAAAATAGCCTAGATCCAAGCAACAAATGGTTCTCCACAATTGTCTTTGTCTTCCTTTTCTCCCATAGGTCTCACCAAGCCGAAGTCCACCTGGAGGAGTTGAACCTGAGCCATGGGGAGCCAAACCCAGAGGATACTGTTGGGAGTTCTGGTGGGGCAGAAGAGGTGAGATGTTTCTAAGAGCCTGGGTCTGTGACACTTCATGGGTGCTGTGGTCTCACAGACTGGCCTAGAAGAGACATCATCCCCAACCCTGTACTTGAGTCCTTCCAGGACACATTCTTGGAGGATGGTGAAGCTGGTGACCCTCTGGGCAAGTTCCTCCTCCATGACCAAGAGATTCTTCCCTGCAGTCAGGGATTCCAGAGCTGTGGCATGTCAGGGCCAGACCAGGACTGAGGCCCCTGGAGGGGAAGACCGCTGCTCCAACAGGCCCTGGGTGGGGCAGGAGGGTGCAGGGAGGGGTCATCTGTGCTGCCTGTGTTTCTTATCCCTAGCACATAACAAGTCATCAGGCCAGGACCCCCAGCCCTTTGGCCTTGGAAGACACTGTTGAACTGAGTTCACCTCCACTGAGCCCCACCACCAAAGTAGGTGAAGCCCGAACATTCCCTTGCTCACTGCTCATGTCTACTGTTCATGTTTTCCTCATCCCCTGCTGCAGCGGTAAACCCCTGTGATATGGAAATGGGGTTTGGGTCAGTGGGTAGACTCACTGGGATTGGAACATGGACCTGATGTGGCTATCCATGACCCACACCTCTGTGTACCCTCTATAGCTGGCCGATAGGACGGAGTCCCTGAACCGTTCCATACAGAAAAGGTGTGTCTACCTGCTCTCTGGCATTCTCAAAGACAGGGTGGGAGAGCGACTGTGGGTCCTGCTCAGGGGATGTGGTGTTCTGAGAGGGGCTTTGGGTGGTCTGGGAGGACCTTGGAGGGAAACGTAAGGCTTATCCTTGCTTCTACCCCCAGCAACAGTGTGAAGAAGTCCCAGCCAACACTGCCCATTTCCACGATCGATGAGCGCCTGCAACAGTACACCCAGGCCACTGAGGTGAAGTACTCAGCTCTCTGAAGCCAGACCTCCTCTTTAATATGCCATCATCCATCCTCCCCCCCCCATACCACCTAAGCAACTCACTCCATCCCATCATATCCCTCTCACTACTCGACCAGTATCCTTCCATCCGCTCACACTGCCTCTTCCATAAACCCTGGGTCTCTCACATTACAACAGGCCTTCCTCTGTCTGTCCTGTCATCTATCCCATTCAGCCTGTGCCCCTCCCACCGTACAACACTTCATTATACAGCCAATATGCCCTCAGTCCAACAAAACCCACTTCCTTAAACAACATCCCTCCATCTAACCTGTACTCCTCTATCAGGACTTTTCTTCATTTTATACCCCTCCACCTAAGCAACACCTCCATCCAATCAGTATCTCTTTCCCTAGCTAGTACTCCTCCATCCAATCAGTGTCTCTCTACTCAACCAGCACTCCTCCACCCAATCTGCACCACCCCATTCAGGCAGCATTCCTCTACATACTTTTCCTTTATCCCATTGTGATAGCCTCCATCAAGCCCACACTCTTCTATACACCAACACCCTTTCTTCAGGCATTCCTCCATCACAGCAAATATCTTCTCCATCTAACTCACATACTCCATCCAACTAATGCTCCTCCAGCCCCAAGACGTGTAGCATGAAGCTGGACTGAGGGGTAGCTCGTGAGGCATCAAACGAAGGATAGCTATCTGTCCAGAATCCCCACCTCCCGCAAATGCAAAGATGAACAAGATGCTGATGTCTACCATGCTGACTGTCTCGGGGCTCTGTCTCCTCTGCAGTCTGCTGGCCGAACTCCCAAGCTGTCCCGCCAGCCCTCCATAGAGCTGCCCAGCAAGGCCGTGGCCAGTACCAAGACTCTTTGGGAGACAGGAGAGGTGCAGAATCAGTCTGCTTCCAAGACATCCTCCTGCCAGGTAGGATTCGTACCCAGGCAGGCCAAACTGGGAAGGCTGAGCATGGAAAGTCAGCCATCATGGGGTGGGGGTGGGGTCCTTTGAAAAAGCAAAACCAGGATAGCCAAGGTAAAGTGTAGGTGGACAGGCTTCAGGGCACAAGGAAAATCCATGTTGTCCTGATAAACAAGCACTATGCTTCTCCTTTCCTCACTGCCAAACGTGAGGTGGGTAGGTCCTCCATCTCTCAGCTAGGGAATACCAGGCAGAAGAAAAGGCCCTGTGACCAGTATCTGTCCTGTGACAGACCCTGTGTTTGCCCCTAGGATATTATAGCTGGAGATATGAGCAAGAAAAGCCTGTGGGAACAGAAAGAAGGCTCCAAGACCTCATCCACCATCAAGGTAAGTATGTCTCTCTGTGATAGGCACAGGCTGATAGTGAACAAAGATGGCTGCTGTTGCCATCCTCAAAGACTTCCCAGAGGCAGCAGTATCTCCCTTTTATAGCTATCTCCTTGACACTTAGTTCTCATCTAACAGAGCACTCCATCTGGAAAGAGGTACAAGTTTGTGGCCACTGGACATGGGAAGTATGAGAAAGTGCTTGTGGATGAGGGCTCAGCGCCATAGACCATGTATGCATCTTGGTGAGTCCAAGGATCAGAGAATGACATGGGTCTTCCTGGGGACATGGACAGGCCCTGATTGACTCTATCTCAGGTCTTGAAAGCTGAAGACTTGGCCTTAGAGTTGCCATATCTTTTGTCTGGCTACCAGTTGTCTTCCTGGCTCTGTCCCTTCAAGCAGGATCAGGTTGGCCTAATACTAACCATAGGAGACTCAAAACTCCATTTAGGAACTTCTACCATATCCAGTGAGGTTCATCATAGTGTGGGCCAGCACTGGAGAAAGTGTGTGTGGCACAGCCTCTAAGAGTATGGATTGCTATACAGTAAAGAAACTGAGACCTTAGCTTGGGCCCCTTGCCCAGCTGAAGGCCCCTGGGAACTCTGCTGCTTTTCCTGTCCCGTTTGAGAACACAACGTGATGTCTGTATGTATATACATACATTTATTTGTGGTTCCATCCAGTCATAATACCCACCACATCCCAGGACAGGCTGCCAGCTCATCCCCTTCTGAATCCTGTTATGGTGGCTGTGATGGGAAGCCTCTCCTGGCTCCTCTGGGTCCCTCCTCTCACAGCTGACATTCTACCAGGGTCTGGCAGATCTTAGAGGTTTCTCTAGTGCCTAGACCCTGCTTCTCTGTAGCCCTCTGGCTTAACCCATCCTTACCCAAATTTTGAAACTTGGCTGTGATTTTTGCCAAGCCCTTCCCTCAATACAGTCCTACCCAGTAAGCCCTTGGTGGCATAAATCTGAAAGGATGCACATGGGACCACAGAAGATTCTTCCTCCACTGTCCAATCCTATGGACATCTGAATACCCCTCAACAAATCCCTCTTGCACTAGGCCTAAAGCCCTGCATGAACCCTGGTCCTGAGGTCAGGCTCCCACCATCCATAAACATTCTCTATCCTGGATTCTCCTCCACAACCCCAAACTGCCTTCAGCCACATGTTCCCAGCTTCATTCACCTCTCTCACTTGCCATTTCTGCTCCCACCAACTGATCTGTGTCCATCCAATAGGCTACTTTCAGCAGGCAGTGCCCAGCTGCTGGCCATGTACCCTCCTGACCCATTGTGTTCACTTGTGAGGATTGAGGGCCTCTCTCTGTATCCTCAGTCTCCATCAACCCCAGTCCAGAGTTCCCAGAGGCTATTCTGTCTGCATCACTGCAGCCTCCAACCTGCTGCTGTCCGATTGAAGTTCTTGGGCCGGGAATGCAGCTCCAGAATGGGGTGGAGGGTAGGAGAGGGCCTGGCAACCTCCTGTAGCTTCCGGGCGTTGAATCGAGGTCGACACAGAAAAGGCAGGTGGCTGAGGCAGGCCAGGGGGCGCCCCCCATCCCCAGGCCCCACGGGGTGGCCTCTATGGGACTCAGCCAGTGACATGCGGTACAGCACTGCATCCCACATCCTGGAGGCCCGGGAGGCAGGGGGCTGTGGGCCCACAGGGGCTGACCTCTCTGGCTGCGTGGGCTCTAGGCTCTGCTTCAACTCTGGAAACATAGGCTCTTCTGGCTCCTCCATGAGCTGCTTCTTTAGACGTGTCCAGCCACTAAGGCAGGGCTTGGGTGCAACTTTGGGAACAGGGCATGGGTGGAGGCCTGAGAGACCCGAGGCTTCAGGGAGGCTGGAGACATGCTTGGGCTCCATAGCAGGCCTGGCTATAGGTAGCTCCTCCAGACGTTCTGTTTCAGGAGCTACAGGAGCTGGGCTATAAGGTGAGGGCCCAGGTGAGCGGTATGTAGGGGCTATGGGCACCACCACCCTAGCACCAGCTTCTCTGGATACTGAGGCCTGAAAGCTGGGTGGTGGCCTCGTTACAGGGGCCTCCTCGGGCCCAGGACTGGCTGCCTGAACCCCAGAGGGCAGTGGGCGAATATGTGCTACTGGGATGACAGACTGGGTGCTAGAAGGATACGGGCCTTTATCTCCATCCAGGCCCATCCTGGGGGACTCAGAAGTCCCAGTATGCAAGGATGGTGACAGCCGGATATGCACTTGGGTAATGTGGGTACCACTTGCTGTAGGGGCAGATACATGGGCAAAGCCACCGCGGGGCCCAGCAGTTTCTAGGGCTGGAGCGTCAAGACTAGGAGGTGCCTTGAAATGAGTGGCCAGAGATCTTTGCTGGGGAAGGCTGAAAGAGAAAGTGGATTTCTGCAGGGGTGAGGCCACGTGATGAATAATGGGAGTGTGTGGGGAGCGGGGTAAGGGAGTCACCGTGTGAGGGGCTTCAGCAGGAGGCAGGATTGTAGGCTCCAGGTCATGACTGGCCTCACTCACGGGGGACAGGGAGGTACGAAAGGCCCCCGGTGGGGTGGGAGTCGTGCCCACCATCTTCTTCCGAGCAGCTTTTCTCAGTAGCTTCTGAAGTCTCTGGTTGTCCTTTCCAGGTTTGGGCAGCAGGGGTGGTGGGGGCCCTGGGGAGGGCTCAGGTCTCGGGCCACCTGCTGCCGGAGGCATTGACACAACTGAAATGAGCATCCCTGAGTATGCTCCCTAGGGTAGAGGGGAGAGACAGTGGTCAGGCTACCCTCCCTCCCCTGCTCCACGGGAGGGGTATTCTCCTACTGTATGGAGTGGGAGAATATGCAAGTTCTCCTGTGAGAAGCTCACTTCCCATGCTCCCCAAAACTGCATAGTACCTTCTAGCCTTACGCATTACTCACTGTGGGTGGCTTCGTTATACCCTGGTGTGGAGGTGAACTTACAGTAGTTCCAGGTCACTGGGTGGGTGACAAGGACTAGAACATGCCTTCAGGGATCTTGTCCTCTAAGATGGCCCAGCACAAAGCTGGCCCACCTGCGAGTACCAGCTTGGGCCCAGACTTAGAGTAGTGCAGGATGGGAACAGAGACCCACTGATGAACTACAAGCAAACTGCCTGTGCCTGGCCAGCTGCCGGACAGTGGTGGAGGGCAGGCTGCCTGCAGACACGTGAGGGGCGCCTTGCCGTCGCCAGCCTGACCACAGGCGGGTCCGTGTGCTTTGAGACGGTGGTGAGGGGTGGCAGCCAAAAGGCTCAAGCAAGCTGAGGCTGTATTCTTAGAGGTAGATTGGCTGGAAGATGGGAGCGGTTTTTGCTGAGCTACACTGAATGGGATATCCCCACAGCCCTCCTGCTGAGGGTGGTCCTGGCCAAGCTTCCTGTCTTGGTTTCTGGGCGCCACGTGTTTGCAAGGACATTGACAAATGGCATCTGGGCCAAGCTGGAGGCCATCTGGTTGGGGTGGAAGAAGGCCTATGGCTGCTGCAAAAGGGCCTGTTCTGCTGAAGCAGGAGCAAATACTGGCAAGGGGTCTGGAGGGGTCTTTCCACACTTGCTCCCAGCTTCTGGGTTACCTCTAGGGAACTGGAACTTGGGAATTGGGCCAACCCTGAATTTGATTCAAGGGGGCTGCCTCAGTGGGTAGTCGGTACTCTCTGCTGAGCCAGCCTAGGCCCAGAATACTGAGTTCTCAGGTAAGTGGTCCCCATAAGCAGCAGCTTCCCTGGGTAATAAGAGGGTGTATAATGAGGTCTGATGGTTACTAGGAAGGTAGGGTCATAGAGGGGGCAGGCTATGCCTCTCCTTCAACCCTAGCCTAATGGACCCTATACCCTTGCCTGTGTTCCTAGGAGAGACTCCAGCCAGATGCCGCTCCGAGCCATGACCAAGAAATCACTTCCTATTGCCAGTGTCCTGCTCTTGTGCCTCCAACAACCCAGCTGCCATTTGCCCCTTTTTTTGCTCCTGGACCCTCCATTTTCTATTTTCTCTTAGCCTCATGATCAGTCCACCAACTCTGCCTCTCACAGTCAGCTAAAGGCACCACTCCCTAGAGGAACCAAGAGCTGCCAAGGAAAGATGGAGAAGAGAAGGCAAGCATTCCAACCAGATCCAAGGGGTACCTGTCCCCATGCTGAATGCTCAGGACTCTGAGTCCTGCCATGCCCTGTTTTCAGATCCCTCATTTTGTGTAATAAAGTACCTTGAGTCCCCCATGCACTGGATCGTCTGTGCTCACTAACAGGGGCCAAAGTGGTCAGAACAGAAAGGCCACATCTGTTGGCCACTTGACACTGCATAGCATATATCAGCTCTGTTGGCAACCACTCTGGCCTTGCAGTGTGTTATGCTCTAGAATCTGAGGTATGGGGTGACACAGTTGGGGTATCAATAATGGATGTAGTCTACTCCTCTTCCAGAACATTGGTGACACTTCCTCTCCTGGAGGAGAATAAACCTCATAGTACCTGAATAAGGGCACTTCTGTTGTTCCTGGTAGTGACCACTAAAGACAAGCGCTGCCACCAGGGATTTCCCATCTCAGTACCCAGAGGGCACTCTCTGAAGATGAGGTGGAGGAACATATGGATGGGAAGAATTGTCGGATAGATGGGCAGGTAGATGGATGGGCGGATAGGTAGGTAAATGATAACTGAATGAATGAGAAGAGAGATGCAGGGGTGGAAAGATGAATGACTGATTGTTAGGTAGGTGGATGGACGAGTAGATGGGGGAATGATGAATGGACGATAGGTGGATAGACAGGAAGATGGTAAGTTACAGATGAGTGAGTAGGTGCATGGGTGGATGGATGGGCAGCTGTATAAGCAGATGGATAAATGGATGGGTGGGTGAGTGTATAGGTGAGGTAATAGATAATTTACGGGTAGAAAGAGGGATAGATGCATACATGCCTAACTGAATGGGTGGATTGGGAGATGGATAGATGGAGAAGTATAGATGAATAGTGACAGATGGGTGAATAGATGATAGGTGAGTAGATAGGTTGATGTGCAAGTAGTTGAGTGGATGCATGGATGGATGGATGAGTAGATGGATAGGTAAATAGAAAATAATGAAAAAGAGAAAAGAAAGGAAGGAAAGTAGTGATTGTGAGAGCTGATGTGTGGGGATAAATGAGTGTATAGTGGCTGGACAAGTGAATGAATGACAGTTCTATGGGATGTCCTCAGGGGCTCCCTCCCCTTGCCAGGCCTATTCCTGGGCTTAACTCTGAACCTTGTTGCCATAAGAATCTGGAGCTTCTTGACTGATGATGGCCTAAGCTTGACTGTGACATCTACCCAGGCACTCAGAATCTTGACTTTTGAAAAGCTTCGAACTCTACTGGTAGGAACACACAGCTCTGGAAGATTAAAGCTCAACAGATACAACTGATGAGGCAGACGAGTAGATGGCCACATCCTTCCTGCTCACATTCTCACCATGATAGAGCCCTACTCTGCTCAACCAGGAACTTCTCCTAGGACACAGGGCACTTCCTGCCCTTCCTTACTCAAATGAGGTGGTGACCAAGGACAGCTTCAAGGTTCATAACAAGACAGGGACCTAGACTCTAGTGTAGGACCAGCATGGGCATGCCAAATGGTTTGGGTGGGGGGGGAGGGTGTTAAAGTATTTATTGTACCATACTCCCATGGCTTGCCCAGACCCTCTCTTGGGCCTTGGGAGGAGAATGCAAGGTGTGCCCCTCTGATTACAACTCCACTAAATCTTACTTGGGTCCCAGGTGTGGAGCCCACCTCCTGTTTTAACAGTGCCCACTCTGCCAGGGACACCAGGACACTGCCCTTCCATCTTTCTGCCAGCCTGCTGAGGGGCCCTACAGCTTCTGCTTCTTCCTCCAGGCCCTGCTTGAAGTGAAGCCCCACTTCACTTTAGGACACAGAAAGTTTCCTAACACCTGTAGAGCCAATCAGTGTGTTTTTAGAACCGGGAGGAGCTCTCATGCACGGAGGCAGCTGCTACCCAGATCACAGCGGCTGAGTCCCAAGTGCCACGTCAGCCAATCCTATCCTGGGCTTGGCAGAGCCAGCCACAGTGGGTCAAGTAGGGGCGCCGGGTGAGGCTCAGGGTCTAGGGGCTCTTTCAGTCTCAGTCTGCTTAACACCCAGATTGAGTGGCCTCTGAATACCCCGCTATTCTGGGAGTCACCCATATAGGCCACTGAAGCCAAGACACTTGAAGGACAGGCTCTGACCTCTAGGCTCAGTTTTTTTATTGGCCAACTTTGTGGGATTCCCCACAACTATCCTGCAAAGCCTCAAACTCTACGGTTTCTCGGCCTCCTGGATAGATGCCCATACCCCCATCCAACAGACTTTGTGCCCCACCTCCACCAGGGTCTTTAGTCCTATCCCAGATCACCAAGGAGCCTTTTACCCTGTCTCCTCTCCCCAGCACGCCCAGCCAGGCCCCATAGGACCTGCTATGTGTTACCTTGCATGTGTGGCCTGCTCAAGTCTTTGGTGGCCGGCAGCAGCTGATCCAGCAGCACCCACTCTATGCTGTCCTGCTGTACCTTGGGCCTGGTCCCCTGAGGAGGAGATGACTGTTACCCAAAATAAGACATGACCTGTCTCTCTGACCTCACTGAGAGCACATGCCAAAGTCTTCTGAAGCAGGCAGCCATCCTCCCCTGCTGGCCATGAGGAGCCATTACAAAGATGGTAGCATACCTACCTATAGACCTCTAAGGACACCTGTTCCTCTCAGACAAGAGCTTCAGGATTCAGGGGCTCAACAACCACAGACTGGACCAAATCTCTCATGTCTGTTCTCTGTGTTCCTCAGCTGAGTGATGTGCTTGGTCTCAGTAGAGCCAGATAAGAAGGGAGGCTGGCATTACCACAGAAGATATTTAGTGTCCCTTTGGCACTAGTGTGGGGCTTCATCAACTCTATAGGACCCTCACAGTCATGCTGAGGTGGGCAGCCACGATATTTGGCATTCAAGGGCATAGATGGGTGTGGAAGAAAGCATAGGCTCTGGCCAGGAAGGTTGAGGTGGCCCAGCAATTCCAGGGGCCTCTAAGGGGCAGGGGCTTAGAGAGACGAGAACAGTAGAGAAGCCCTGTTCTATGAGCCAGCAAGCTGGAAACCTACCCCCCCCCCCGCTTTTGAACACAAGCTGAGTCTTGTGTCTCTCTGGCACTTTATGGCCCCATTTCTAACATGTAGGGAGTGGGTGATGGGTCAATACCAACCTTCCAGAAACTCTAAGATTCAGCTGAAACTGGGATATTGTGAGGCTCCTGCTGGTCATCTGATGTCTCTAACCTTAGGATGTGAAAGGACGGAAGCCCTGTCTGAGTTCCCCAAGGTTCACATACCCCAGAAAACCATCCACCATTACTTTATACTTCACACAGGCCCTCCCACTGAACTGGACAGATCCAAGGACCCCACCAGCTATGGCCAACCCACGGGGCCAAGGAGGATTGAGAGAGAGAGACTAGGAAGTGCTGGGTTAGTCTTTTGCGGCTTGCTGCTTTATTTCCCTAGAGGCAGGGCTATCCAGGCACACAAGGCCCAGGAGAGGTGTCCATGGTTGGATGGTGCCCCCTGGAGTCTTGAGGAAAGAAAGGCCAGGCACAAAGCCAGGCCTGCTCAGAGCCCAGCAGGGCCCACATCCCTGGAACAGAGATATGACCTCCAGCTTTCCACTATTTAGTAAGGAGCCCCGAGACCAATCACAGGCCCAAACATAACCCAGCCTCTCCTAATCACCGGGGAAGATGGATAGCTATCACAATGTTAAGGTCATCATTTCACCCATCTTTTCATTCTGTGTGTTCCAATAACCACTCGGAAAAATAGGCCTGGCCTCTAAGGGGTTTAGTGTGATGTGGGCCAGGGACCCAGGGTCCTTCATTCTGTAGCTATCTTGAGCTATCTCTATGATGGAGAGGTAGGGCAGAGCTGCGGGGGGGTATCACACGGAGGTAGGCACCAAAGTACCCACTCCTACAAGGCACCTTAGGCAGGGAAACAGGGTCCAAGGAACTTGAAACCCAGGCTCTGATGACCCCTTCCCAATAGCTTGGCTCAAGAACACCCTTGGGCTTGACCCAATCCATTCCTCCTCCCTCCCTCAGCCCATCAAAAACATGTGTCTGTTGCTGAGGGGGAGGGTAGGTAAAAATAGCAGCTGACACCTTTCTGGGACAGTTGGGGACCTTGCCTCCTCCTCCAGGCATGTCTCCTCCATCCTCGCCTCCTTGGGCCTCCTTCTCTGGAGCATTCCTATACTTGGTCAGGGGCCTGCTTGGGCACACCCTCCCCCTCTCCCTCCCCATGCCCCATGCCCCAGCCACCCATCTGCTGGCCAATGGGCTTCCAGGGAAGATCAGATGTCACTATAACATGAGGGGGTGAGGCTGTGGGACAGTGCCTGCTGCTGGTCCTGTCCGCAAGGAGCCCCCAGCCTTTCTCAGACTCAACCGCAGGTGGGTATGGACGTGAACAGCCTCCCTAGGAGAGGGTGACCATGTCAGGGCTTGGCTACCTAGCATCTAAGGGGCACTCAAATGGGGCCTGACCCTCATGGTGTGTTATATGTTGATGACTAAAAACATGGTGGGTAAGACTTGGGATGACACTGAAGACCTGGCCTGAAAATAGAATAAAAAGGAATAGGAGTGGGGAGGACGGGGCTCCTGGGAGCCTAAGGAAAAAGGAGTCCTCCTAAGGTAAGATCTAGGGAGAAGGGTTAAGATAAGGATCAACTCAGCGAATGTTGCCCAGAGCTCTGAAGACTGCCTGCAGTGATGCAGCTGGTTGGGAGCCCATCTGGGGCTCTGGAAGAATGACCTTAGGGAAGGAATGGGATTTCAACTCATCCCTGGAGCCTAGGGCTCTGGGACCTAAGCTACCCTTGCCATTTTGTAGACGTGGACTTATCTCAGGTCACCCTGGGAATGCGCTCAAGGGAGAGAGATCTGGGGCCTTCTGGGTCAGAGTCCTAAGGTTCAGGTCAAGATAGACAGGGGCCAAGCTAAAGCAGGACAGAGGGAATGGAAGGACCTGGGCCTGAGTAGAAAGCTTATGTCTAATCCTGCTTATGGCTGGAAGAACAGGTGATCCCAACAGACCCTAGTCCTCCAGGCCCCAGCCTCTCTAAAGTTTTCAGGCTAGGAACCCTAACTTCCTGAGTTTGAGCCTTCTAGAAGTCCTTGGGAATCCTTGGAAGAGAT